CCTCCTGTCAGTGACTTCTATTTAAAATTAAATAGGAAGATGTATTTTTAGGTGGCAACTTAAACAGAAAAGTTTCTTTTTCCTGATAAGTTTACTCTTATTTAGTGATTTTGCAATTAAACGTGTATTATCTTTCAAGCAAAATGAGTAAACTTTTCAACTCTGTGAATATTTGAACCGTATCTTTTAAAAAGTTTCTAATTTTTCATTTTGTCCCTCCTTGTTTGAGGAATTCAGTGAATGAAAATGTCCTGGTAAATGCCTTTTTTTGCATAAATACCTCTTACTTTTTAAGTGCAAGATAACAGTGATTATTCAGCTAGAGGAAGTTTGTTAACTCAAAGTTCGTCTTACAGAGAAAAAAAAAACCGTTTAATTTCACTAAAATACCTAAAACTGAAGTGAAACCGTGAATTCAAGTTTCTCCAGGAGGTGGCAGTGTTTAGCTTTTTACCAGCAGGAGTCTATGACGACTTCCTGTGACGTTCGGTTGACATCCTGTTTTTAGCCGCTTAGCTTAAAGTTAGCTTCGGCTAAACTCGGTTAAAATCAACATTTCTGAACGAATTTAAGCGTAAACGTGGCGTTCTTTCAACAAGCACGACTTCTTAGCATGAAACATGAGTTTTTGGGACATATGGCAGCTTTATTTAGTGATTTTAAGCACGGCAAAGCTCATTTCCGACATGGAGGAAGTGACATGACACGTCACTCATCCGGTCGTTAGCTGTTAGCTTAAAATTAGCATCGCTAGCGTTGTTCAAAAACATCATTTAATGACGGATTTTAAACTCTAACGTGGCAAAATTTCAGCAAGTATGCTTCGAAGAACTTAACCAGCGTGTCAAAATACACTTTAAAGCGCTTTTCAGCTTTAAAAAGCAGATTTTATTTCCCTATGAAAACGAGTTTTCATATCCGGGTCACGTGACTGAAATCACCAATTACAGAGCAGCACGGGGGTGAGAGGAAATGACGTAGGCACGTCATTCAACTTCTCAGCGAATCAGAGCGCTCCACAACTGCAAATCCAACCAATCACGAAGCGTTTTTCCCAACTAGCATGTTAGATTAGCCTGAAATAAGTTCGTCAACTTTTCGTCTTTTAAACTGTCAAAATGCACTTTTTCTGTTAAAAACTGTAACGAATCAATTCTGAGTTGCACGGAGTCTGCTACTCCGGTCTCAAAAACGTCTTTCTAGCTATTTAAACAACTCGTCCGAACCTTTTCAGAACCGAGCCGGACCACAGCCGGGTCTTGCAGCAGAACCTCCGTCCTTTTAAACAGAATAACGTTTTCCACAGCTCATCAGCTTAGTTACACGTAACAGGCGTACAATTTCAGCTTTTAAAGACTCAATGACACTATTTCAGCTTTCATAACATCGCCAGCGTAACACAGCGTAAACATGAAGAGCCGAGCTCCAAGCGGCGCAGCTTCAGAGGCGTTTCAGCACAGCTGACAAACTGTTATTTTTCATGCCAACATGTAAAATCAATCTTTACACGAATACACAGTCATTTATGAACCGTCACGAGCCACCAATATGTAGTATGACATATGCAGGATATATTCATACATTTCACGAGTTCTTCATTTTTCTGACTGTGTAAATGTCGTGCATTGAATTTAACAGAAATGTAACGAGAGACGTTATTTATCTTTGACCCATCAAAATGAATGCGGTCATTTATTTGCAGAATCAAAGTTTAACATCAAACATTTACATTAATTTGGCAAAATATGAAAACAATAACATGGCTAGTTTCACAGGAAGTTGGAACAATACGGCGATTGTCCTCACTTTCAGCAGAACAGCAGACATCAATCACATGGCGGTGATTGAGAACTTTACTTCAGACATTTCTAAAATATCTGTAATGATTTTAGGAGAAAGGAGAGTTTAAAGATGGAAAGTGGAGATTTATCTTACAGAGAGATGTGTGAGGGATTTTATCTGTTTGACCAGAAACGGGCACGCTCCTTCAGATCTCAGCTTGGTCACGGTACGCTTGGTCGAAATAGAACTTTTACCTGGTTGATGATAGGTCAGGTCGGCGTGAAGTCCTTCTTTTGACTCTTTCAGCGTCTCCGTTGAGAACAGCTAAAATACTTTTAGGAGTCGTGCGAGGTTATCCAAACAGAAGTTATAATTCCCAAAATCGTCTCTGCATCCTGGATTGCAAGAATTCTGAACTCCTTCAGAACTCTACTCGTCACATCTCATCCCTGAGAGAACTCTGAAGCTTCTCTATCAGAGAACTTTTTCATCTCACTTCTCCAGGAGCTGCATCCCCGAACACTCATAGAGAACCGGGAAGTTGCCACATTTAAATGGGTTCGACTTCCGGGTCATTTGAGAGCTTTCTGATTCGTGGATGGACCAGAACAGAGGTGTGGTTTGTGATGTAAGGTGTTATCAAAGTCAAGGACAGAGATTAAGTTTGTTTAAAACAGACAGAAAGATTATTGGAGAAAACCAGACTTCGTGGAGTCAAACTCTCCTGTATCTTCTGTAAAAGTTAAACATGACATTTCTTTTCAGTAAACTTTTAGTTGACCGAACCTCGAACTCTAACACACTTACAAATTTGCTCATTGAAGACAGAAAAATCAAGAAATGCCTATTACCCTGATTTCTTCTTTGAATGAGGAATAAAAATCATTACTTACTGTTTATGTAAATAAAAATGAGTAGTTCTCTTCAACCTGTAAACGTTGTTTGAACTAACACAATTTGATTATCAAAACATTAATAAAATAGTAATGATCATAGAGAATTGTCATTTCTACTTGATTAATTCAAGAAAGAAAGTCTCAGGATGGGTCAAACTGTATTTCTGGATGCAGATCAATGAAATAACAGTTTCTGTCCCACAAGGTTCTTAAGGTCAAGTGTTTTGACCTTAGGCTTAGTTTGACATCAGGTTAGGTTCACTACAATGATAAGGCTCCTCCGAGTTGGATTATAATATCCTCCACCTCTGAGTGGAACTTCTGAAGGACCCCACTCATGTGAAGTCTATTGCTGATGTGAGCTGGTGTCGGACGGAATCTCGTCACTACTTCAGACGAGTCACAGCCATCCTATGGAGACGCTGGACAGGTAGCGTTAACTGGACCTCCATATCTGCTGATTAATCTTCAAAAAGGTAATGAGTCAAGTTTCCTACCAAAGCGTACCGAGGAAAGCTGGGTTCTGATGGAGAGTGTCGGTTCTGGTGAACACTTCCCCTCACATACCATCTTTTACTCCCTTTAAACTTCATTCCCATCTTTAAATTCTTCTCTCAAGTAGAAATCCTTCCAGATATTTTAGAAATGTCTGTGTAAAGTGCTCATCCACCGCCGTGTGGATAATTGATCATAATTGTACAGTTTTCATTGATGTCTGCTGTTCTGCTGAAGAGTGGAAACAATCGCCGAATTGTTTCTCACTACCTGTAAAGCTGTTAATTATGTTGTTATTTTCATATTTTGCCAAATTAATGTAAATGTTTGATGTTAAACTTTGATTCTGTAAATAAATGACCGCATTCATTTTGATAGGTCAAAGATAAATGACGTGTCACGTTTGCATTTCATTAAATTCAATGCACGTTTTATTCAGTCCAGAAAAATGAGGAATCCGTTTTAATTGATGAATATTTCTCAGCATCTGTTCATCTACATCACTCTTTGTTAAAAATTCAGGTCTCTCTTGTAAATGAGTCCCCGAGGCTCAATGGGATTAACCTGTATAAATAAAGGTTGAATGAAAGGTACCCTGTACTTACAGGGTACCTATAAGTACCCTGTAAGTACCCCATATGCAACAGGCACATTCTGAGTAGACACCCCGATACCTCATAGGGAACGGGTTATATTATGCATTGTTTCAGTGATTTGAAATACTGTACATGGTAAATGGTCTGTAATTATATAGCACCTTTCTATCTTATCAAGATATTCAAAGCTCTTTACAACACAATTGGTGTCTTCATTTACCCATTCATACAGCACTCTACTAGATCTCTACAAAGTATAATCAGAGCTTTAGGTCACATTCATACACCAATGGGACACACATCGGAGGCAATGAGGGGTTCAATGTCTTGCCCAGGGACACTTCAGCATGTGACTGCTGGTGGAATCGAACCCCCAACTCTCCCACTGGAGGACGACTGCTCTAAGCACTCAGCCACAGATGTCTATATTAATGAGGCAAGACAACAAAGAAATGTTTCACACAATAAATCAAACTGGAAATAAAAACTTACAGGTTTACAATTTATTTTTTAAATAAATCAATAAGGCACAACGCGCTAATTTATAAATGAGAAGAAGTTAAAAGGTCTGTCACAGTACAGACACCTAAATATTACTGCAACTTAACAAATTAATATTTATTTACACACAATAAAAAACATAAAATAAAATAAAAATGTTAGTCTGTTAGTCACTTTAAGTGAGTTCAAACTGTTCTCAAACTACTTGGATATAAAAAACAGCACCCAGAATATTTTAGATGAGACAAATGTGTAAAAAAGCATCAGTGCACCTTCAGCAATCAAAAATACCATCAGTATGAGATACTGGAGCAATAACTGTGAGGTTAGCACCATATTTTATGTCAGTATGTATCCCAGCAGCTGCTGTAGCTGCAGGTGGATAACAACAAGTGAGACTGACAACATGAATATAGTTTTATTGTCTCAGAAAGTGCTGCTGTGATCTCCTCTGGAAGAAATTCTTGACGTTTTTAGATATCACTAAAAACACTGTTAGCTCAAACTCTACTGACACATCTTTAGTAGGCTAGTTTTAAGATGTCCTAAATACCATGCAGTACTCCTCATTAACAAAGAAACTTTGAACAATCTTTGGTTTGAATGAGATCAAAATTATTTGTAATTTGTAATTGTAAATGAGTCCCCGAGGTTCAGTGAGATTAACCTGTCTAAATAAAGGTTGAATGAATTTATTTGCTGAAAGCAATGGCTGACGGGAGGCCAACACTTACAAGTGGCTTGCTGTGAGACGTTCAGGAGACAGGCTTCTGTTAAATCTCTACAACAAATAAAAACAGACTAAATCAGCTGCTTTTCAGAAAACTCAAGCTCACACAAACAAACACAACCAGAATCACACATACCCTTAAAGGCTACATACAGTACATGTGCATGCATGGCAGTAATTGGAAAGAAGAAGAATAAAAAGGGAAATGATCGTTTTTGTCACTGAAATTCTAAAATGTTGTTACAATCATCTGTTTGTGGACTTACAAGACTGCGAGCTGGGCTGAGGGATCTAGAGCGTACAGAGCTGGCACTCCTGCTTCTTCTCCACTAAAACACACACACACGTTCTTGTAAACATACTTTTTGGGGACTTTGCATTGACTTCCATTCATTTTCTATAGCCTAACCTTGACCCTTACCCCCCAACAAGACTTCTCCTTATGGGAACCTGGCTTTGTCCCCATAAAGTGCAGTTTGGTCCCACAATGCATGATTTTTTTTTTTGTAAAATTGGCCCCTACAAGGTAACCTGACACAAACACACACACACACACACACACACACACACACACACACACACACACA